CAAATGATTCAGGAAGATCTCAGAAATAGTTTCAGAACTGGCTCAACAGCACAATAAACCACTGCACGAGAAGAGTGTGAGGAAAAATCTCTAGAGATTATCCAGAAAGGATGCTAGTGTCCCACCTGACCTCAGCAGGTGAACCGCAGTAACTGGACTACACTGACCTGTCTGCTGGAGCAAGGAGAGCAGCATCCCTGGCATCAAATGAAAGTCAGTTGTACTAATTTTTCCTACCACAATTAAACTGAAAGCACAGTATGATAGGAAGAAGCTTTGAGAGTATTTTTCCTGCCTTTCTTGATTAATGCTATTTAAAGTGTCATTGCTTTTTCACATTCATGTTAAAAAAAAAAAAAAGTAAACAAGGGAAGTTATGGCTGAAGTGTTTTCCAAATGTCACTCCTGCAGTGCTGTCATACTCTTTCTTCCACCAATTTTCCATGCCCATTTTCATTGTATGTCACTATAAGGATGCTGCAGAACTGGAGCAGAAGCCCAGCCTTTCTGTGCTGACCAAGTTTCGTTCCTACCTGATGCTTTGTGCAGAGCACAGTTAATGTGTGATAGCAGCTGATTTTCAAGCTCAAAAGTATCTACGAGTATTTAAAAATACCTTGGATGAGAAGGGCATGTCTTTAGCCAAGTAGCTGCTGAAAGCCTGAGAGCAGCAAGTGCTGACTTCTTTAATTATGTAAAGAATCTTATTACAATTCAGATTAGTGGAATCGGAAATGGAAATAAACGATCATTTGGGAGTGGAATTTCCTATTGTAAGGCATATGTACAGAAAAGCCACAGAAGTGTTACAATGGGTTTTTACTGCTAGTTCACTCTCTCTGTTTTGGCGTGAAGATGATCCATTTGTGCGTGAAACCTTGAACTGTAAAATTTTGGTCTGTGCAGGAATACTGTGTTTTGACTTCAAAAGGGACCCAGGATTACTCTGGAGTTTATCCTGGAGAACAGAGCTGTTGTAAGTACATGGAGATAAGTTGCAGGACTTTGGTTAAGTTGTTTTTGTTTTGTTTTGTTTTGTTTTTCGGGAGAGATCTCCTAGACTTGCCTGGTGAAAAACATGCCTCAGAGGGCACAGGACTGAACAATCGTAGTCTCCTAGCCTATGGGAACAGCGAAAAGAAATGATATTTCAAGGACCTAAACCAGTAAATCACTCACTAGTTCAAACTGCGAACAGGGCTTTGCAGAAATCCTGTGAAAAGGAAATGGGAGGAAGAGAATGAGCTATAAAACAACGGGAATAGGAAATGTGTCAATGTCAAATGCTTTTTAGAGGCTTGGTCTTTGAGGGGAGAGTTGAGATTCACTGCTGTTCACATAGAAGACTGAGGAACAGATGAGTTTGGTGGGTAGCTGTAGCTTCAGGGAAGGAATATGTGATGAGGAGATGTGGGATTAGAGATGGGAGAACAATTGCTGTGCCTAGTTCCACTGAGTACTGGATTTCTCTCTCAAAAGGGAAGGGGGAGGAAAAAGTTAATCATAGCCATGGGAAGGGTCACGTCCGCCTCAGCTCTTGGAAGGCTGCAGGAGGAAGATGGACAAAGCACCAGGTCTTTGTGGGAAGCATCAGCTGAGGTTTCAGTGTTGTAAGCCGATGAGTGGCAGCGCAGTTGGGGCTCCTTGACAGCAGTAGTTTGTCAACAGAGACAGAGCTGCCTTCATTTTGCAAACTATAGTAATAAAGATTGTTCCTCTTGATCTGTGTGCCTTTGCTGTTACAGCCAGAACAGCCTGTAGCTCCTCTTCCTTCTTGAGAAAAGGCTCTACCTGCTGTGTTGATGGATTGAAGCTCACTGGAGACAGAGAAAGATTTAACACTGACTTGAGGGCTTCTCTTCATAAGTTTAACTAGATAGATAGCCTTAGAACAGGTTTTAGAGTTTAGATTTGCAGAGAGAGAACACAAAACAGGGAAACCCCTGCACCGTTGGGATGGCAGCAGTGTTGTGACAGTACAAAAGAATTTCTTTAATTAAAATTCTCAGGAGACAGGAGATCCTTCTTTCTGAGCGCCACCCAAAGGAGTGGTGGCTCGCAGCTCCACGCAGCGCTCGGCAGTGCTCGGGCTGTCTGCCCACTGTGCTCCCTTCCAAAGCCCTGGGGACCCAACAAGCACCTGCAGGCTCTCCGAGTGCAGTACCTACGGCTCCTATTCCTGCTTCATTCCTTCCAAAAACAGTCTCAATTGCCGTGTGTCCTAAAACATTCTGGGACTGCTGCAGGATGCAGAGGCACCGTTCTCCAAGCAAATCCTGCTCCCTTGCCCTCCAGCAGAAAAAAAAAAAAAAAACAAACCCACAACTTTTGAGACTCACGTATTCAAAAGGAGTAGTGATTTTATTGTCCTTTTTGTAACCACCAGACAACACAAACAAACCTCCATTATCTATTTAGCTGTTATGTGTATATTTTTTCCAACACACAATATCACTTGCAAGGAAGTTTCAGAGTAATGAGAAGTGGAACTGCTACAACCATTTTCCACTGTGACAGGGGGAAATGTGACTGTGTAAGGCCTTTATAAACTATTTTAAAGTAACAGCTATGTGCATAATTTTTTTTTTCAGGTAAAAACAATTTGAGAAATTATAAATTTAATTAGATTATGCATTAAAATTAGATTAATTTAAATTACATTTTGAAAGGGAAGACTTTCAACTCGGAAAAGCTATTTCTGTGCAAATGGAAATTTTTGTTGTTGAGGGTATTAAGCTTCAAAGACGGCAAGATTTGAGATTACCTGGAGAAGTACTTCTAGTTTTTCTTTAAAAAAAATAAAGGAATGGGGTTGGAGTGAAAGTTTTGCTGATAGTAATTTTTCTTTTAGCATTGGTTACTTGTTTCTGTGTGGCAAAGGAAGAAGGAAAAACAAATGCTCAAAAGACAAATTAACAGCATAGAAAACTGTAATTACTTAGATACCTAAAACAACTGAGACGTGTTCAGCAACAGAAACAAAAGTAGTTTTCAAACTAACTGCATTTCACTTATAGCTGTTCAAACAGCTTCTTGCAAAAGATGGAGAATTCTGGTTATAAAATGCACCATTGGACATACGTTATGTAAATGAGGTTTGTAATATTTTTGGTTCCAACTGGAATCGAACAGATTCCCCAACCCGTGTGGCTGCGCCGTGGCCAGCGGCGCTGCGGAGGCGCGGGCTGGTCCTGCAGGCAGCAGTTGCGTTGTGAAGCGAAACCGCCTTCCCCCCAAGCTGAGTAACCTCTGCTCTGTGTCACAGGGATCATGTACCGCAAGTCCTGTGCCTCCTCGGCAGCCTGTCTCATCGCCTCTGCCGGCTACCAGTCCTTCTGCTCTCCAGGGAAGGTGAACTCTGTCTGCATCAGCTGCTGCAACAGCCCGCTCTGCAATGGGCCCCGCCCCAAGAAGAGGGGCAGTTCTGGCACGGTGCTGAGGCCGCATGTGGTGACCACGCTTCTGCTCCTCCAGTTGCCTCTGCTGCTTTTGTGTTGCTAAACTTCAAGCAAGTTCTTTGCCCTGGCACAGTTTGTTCCGTCTCCTCCTGTCTTCAAAGACACTGCAATTATTTTCTGTTTGTTTCCAAATCCCTGTCAACAGCAAGGGAAGTTCAGTGGTGGTGGGGAGAGAGGGTCTGATATTTTTGGCAGCTAATGAATTCAGTTAGCAGAGTGAATTTCCAGTGCACTTGAAAAGCCCAGCAGCAGGATACAGAACTCCTGCTCTTTTTGCATAACTGGAAACAAATCCATCTGTTATTCCTTCTGAGATGTAGTCAGTTCCTGAGTCGTTTCCATTTCCATGTTTTTAAGGTCATTGCTAATCGTTACCTCTGCCTTACGATGTCACGCTCAGTGTTCACAGAGGCCATTTGGAGCGCCAGGACTGGGCTCCGAGCTGGTCTCTAGTGGCACTACTTCCAAGCTGGGCTCCGGTGGTTCCAGACCTGATTTCTGTGAACTGTGGTCAGGCTTGCACTCACTCTGAAAAGTGCTCAAGAAAACTTTGTTATTGCCCCTTCTAGAAGAACTGCGCCTCGACGAAAAGAAGAGCAGCGGGCGTAGAGACCGGCTGCTCTGTGCTCTGGAGCTCAGGTCGGCTCTGAGGAACCTCTCCTTGTTGGCATGCTGTAGGGTCAGGCGGCAGCGCAGGACCTGCAGGAACACGCTGCGGAACTGCCGGGAGGAGATGTTGTACAGGAGGGGGTTCACCACCGAGCTGAGGTAGAAGAAGATGTCAGCGATGGGAAGAAGAGTGATGTACGCTCTGAAGTAGGGAACAGTCCAGTCCTGCTTTGGCTTGGCAGCAGCCATGATCCGTCTAACCTGGTTTGGCATCCAGCATATTGCCAGAGTTGCAACAATCAGTCCTGCAAACAGAAAGAGGAAGAAAAAGGTGTGCATACTTGGGGGGGAAAACACATAAAATACTTAGTACCACTTTTACACTTATGTGTTAGGAAGTAGTACCAATTTTTCAATGTTTTGCTTGACAGCTTTTTCTGCCAGTACCATTTTTTCTGTTTGTTGTTTTAAGTAACTGTTAGAAGGTCATCGCAGCACATGCTCTGACAAAAGACTGCATGGTGCTTGGATACTGTTTCTTTGTACCTGTTGTCATTTATTAGTTTTCAAAGTGTTCTTTCACTGATATCTGTATCCTTGGAAAGTCCATTTTTATTTTGGTTTTGTGTTCTTATGTCCAGTCAAGGCTACAAAGCCGATGAGGGGATGGGAGCATCTCTTACAGGGAAAGGCTGAGAGACCTGGGCCTGTAGGAGAGAAGACTGAGAGGGGATTGTATCAGTGCTCATCACTGTTTGAAGGGTGCTGCCGAGGAGGTGGGGGCCAGACTCTTCTCAGTGGTGCCCAGCAAGAGGATGAGGGGCAATGGGCATACACCCAGGAGGTTCCATCTGAACATGAGGAGAAACTTCTTTCCTGGGGGGGTGACAGAGCCCTGGAGCAGGCTGCCCAGAGGTTGTGGAGTCTCCTCTGGAGAGATCCAAACCCACCTGGATGCGATCCTGGTCAGCCTGCTGTGGGTGACCCTGCTTTGTCACGGGGGTCGGACTAGCTATCTCCAGAGGTCCTTCCAACCTCTACCATGCTGTGATTCTGTGATTTCTTATGTCTCTCCCTTTACTTTGGAAAACAAACAAACTAAATAGAACCTATAGCCATATTAGATCAGGCAATACCCAGAAGAGATCAGATTCTTGTTTGTACTTTACAAAAAAGAAAATGTATGCATAATAATATATTTCATGTTATTTTTGGTAAATTTCCTCTTACAGAAGATATTTTTAAGTAAAATATGTATGGATCTTTTTATGCTAATTAAGATACGTTGGGCTTTCTTAAAAATCAAATTCCAGTGGAATTAAATTATGAATGTAAATGAGAAAAACCCAAGCCTAGTCATGAAAGGGTAAGCAGTTACAGATTGTAAATTATGCTTAAAAATGTGGTATCTGACCATTTTGTATTTATATGTAAATATAAATACATGTTGGTGCATCACTAATAGCATTAAAAAGGGGTGAGTTAAGCGCTGGGTGTCTGACAGTTCTGTGGGCCAGTGCTCGCCGGGGCTGCAGCGCTGGTGCCGGCCTCGGGGTGGCAGCCCCAAGGGGACACGCAGTGGCCCGGGGTCAGCGCTGGTCCTGGGCAGCAGGCGGGGCAGAGGAAGGGCGCGGGGATCCTCGGTGGCATCCGCTGCTCCTGCTCCACATTAAGCGCTGGAAATCCTGACATCTTGCATGGAACCCCAGGGACGCAAAAGAGTTCTCCCAGTGCCCCTTCACTGCCCCGCGGGTGACTTCTGGGGCACAACAGAGCCACCAGTTCACGGTTGCCACTTTGCTTTTCTCTTTGCAGGAGGCATGCCTCACACGAGCCCTTAGGGTAGCAGAGGCACGAGCCGGCAGCGGGTATCCGGGTGGGGCACAGGGCCCGCTGCCAGTAGGTCTGTGCCAGACTGGTCACCTCCTCTCGCCACAGAAGCACAAGAGGCATTTTATTGCCTGCCTGCCTGGACTGGGTGAGGCTGCCCACAGCGAGCAGGTCACCGCAGGAGTGCAGGGCTGACACAGCACACGGATTTCTCAAACCAGGAAAATGACACTTCACTAGTGAGAAGATGTGAATGTAATGTGGGGTGAGGGGGCTAGAAAAGAGAAAAGATTTTTCCTAACTTTGAAACTGTCAGGGCTTGAATAGGTTATGTCCAAATTCTCTTCACAACCCACCTCCAAGCAAAGAAAAGGTATGAAATGTCTTTTTTTATTTTATTAATTTTGTTAATGAAGGCTATAATTACTTTAACAACTTCATGATCTCATTGAATGAGCTACCAAATAAAAATTGGCTTTTTGATCATTTGTTTCTCTAATCACTTAATGTCACAGTAATTTGGGTAGGATGGGAAAGTAACGTGTCTTAAGCAGTAGATGAAGAGTCCTGCAAGGCTGTTCTTAGTAGGCGAGCACCAAATGCCTTTACCTTTGCCATTTCCGGTTCTTCACCCACCGTAACTCTCCGAAGGCAGCGCTCTTTATGCTCATTCCAGTTTTCACACTACTCCCACAGCCCCTGGCCTGGCTGCCCTACTCTTCCCCTGCCGCCCCTCCTCACTTCTCCCTATGTGTTGTGTCTCTGGCAAAAGCCAATCCGAATTTTCTATTAGCCCTGCAAATTTTGTGCCCTTCAGTGCTTTTTTTCTCTGCTGTCAGCTTAACAAGTACAGGGATACCAGACCTGGCACCAAGCGGCAGCAAGTGAGGAGCCCTGAGCAATGACTTGTGACAGGCCTTAATAAAAGGGCAGCGAAAGGACGCTGCTGCTGCCGCTTCTGGCTTTTTCTCCTGGACACCTTAAACACAAAGCCCACAAAGGCAGGTCTGCAGAACGCTGCTCGCTTTTTACCAGATGATCTCTCTTAAGGGAAAAGAAAATAAGCTCTACAGTGTATTTTTTTGTTGTTCTTACTTAGAAACAGGATACTTCATCATGCTGATTAATAGTTTCCTAAAAGATCAATGCTGCTGTGTAAAACTGTCAGCAACAATGTGTGCATTCAGTTTTAAAGCTCAGGTGCAGTGCCCCGAGATGTCTGGGGGTTTTTTTGTATCTGAATTCTTTGCCATTGACCTTTCTTTTTAGTTCAAACTGCCAAATGTTTAAGTTTCCCCCTTAGACTCTTCAGACACTTGTCCTGGGGAATGTATTTCCTTGTGTGTACAGCAAGTGGAAGATGAGCTGCTTGTGCCCAGACAGTGTGGTGAGGTTAGAATTTCATGGGGTGGGAGGAGATGGCCATAAAAATTCGCTGTTTCCCAGAGATGGGTAGTTGTTAATTTTTACACTTAAAAAATGCTTGTTGATTCAAAGGAGATGCACCATATAAATAAACATGCTGACAAATTCACAATATTTTTTCCAACTGTTCACACTTCACATGGAGGTATGATGTAAACTGAAGTGCATCAGAAGAGAAGCTTTATGTTCAGACTGTAGCACATTAAATATTTTGACTGGATTACTGCTGCCAGCAATTGGAACTGTACATAGGCTGTGGGAGTTTGTGTTGTACTGCCATGTGCGGGCGGTGCTTAAACAGCATCGTATCGGCTTGAACCTGAACTGAACTGTACCTTACAGCAGGACTGATGCACTTTCCCCTTGAGCCCGCTGCCTGCTAGGAATTAAAACTCTTTCACTTTCATCCAACTTTCCCATCCATTCCTTCGTATTAAACTGAAAAAAAATAGTAGCTCCATTTATTTTTTCCCATGTTCCTGACTACTGCGCTGAAACGCCACACTAGCTGAGAGCAGAGATTTAGCTTCCGTGGAATAATGATGTTTGTAAACAAAGTGATGCTGAGGCCCAACGACCTCCATCACTGGTGCTTGAAATTTCCAACACACGTTTGAATCCCTTGGTTTAATCATCAGAAGTGCATCAGCCCATGCTAAGAGAAGCCAGGAGCCCTTGTGGTGTCTAGCGGACTATGGGTAAGTGAGTACATCTCAACCTTTAAGGAAGTGTTTGAGCTTACAATTAGTTTAACATTGATGTAGATATTTCAAGGTAGGAAGAAAAAAAAAAAGGAGACACTAAAAGATTCTTTACTAGAACCATTTTAAAAAGTAAAGGTATAAACCAGCCATAAAATAGTTTACCCAAAACAGGCACTACCATACTTAACTACTATTTTATTGTGAAAAAAAAACCTCCCCCAAACATCTTTAAAACTAAGGCATATAAATTTTACAATGATTTAAATTTGGGAATTGTTTTTCTAACTTCACAAAAGTGGATCTTGAAGTATTAATTCTTAGTATGTGACAAAGGATCATTTATGTAGTAAAATAAAGCTAGTGTTTAAGTGGCAGTAATATAAATATGCATTGCTGGCACAGACAAGGAGTTTGGCAGTCATCTGTCCCTCAGCAATACTTTATTGCTCAGAACATTCCTCTGGGCCATAGGGGACTGAATTAAATTCATTATGAACTTTATTGGGAAGGATTTTAAATACATGCCAGTGTCTGGTAGACTGGAGAGGGCTTCCTTCTCCACCCTTCCAGATTTTGCTTGTTCTTTTCTTTGAATAGATTTTTCTTTTTTTCTGCACCTGAGCACTTTTAAGTCTGTCTCCTTTCACAGCCCAGCATTTCCCCTCTATCCTGGTCACTGCCATCCCACAAAACCTGGGATTAGCTACAAAATTAAAATGTTCCTAGGAAATGCCAGCAACCTGCTGTATGTGGCTGCCATAGCCCATTTTCCCAGGCTGCTGTGTGTTCTCAAGTACAAGCTCCTTTGCCTGTGCCTCTTAACCCTGACCGCCCTGGGGCGTCAAGGTCTGCTGGACCCTCCTCCTCCTCCTCCTCCTGCTGCTGCGGTGCTCATCGGCAGCAGCCATAAACCTCAAACTTTGCTTTTCTGTGGTTTAATTAATGGCACAAAGGCGAGTTCTCAACATCTGCTTGTAAACTGACATTTAAATGGCAATTGTCAGTGGAACAGAAGCATATGGTTAGTGAGTTAGGAGTCAAGTGCAGGCAGCGATGCAGTTGGTTCAGAGGGAGGGTTGGGATGGTTTTTTTTCGTGCTCATTTCACATTCACATGCTTGGCCCGACTATACCCAAAGGTGGAACGTGACACTAATGCTCTATGCCTCAGTCACAGTCCCCCAGCCACACATTGGAGGTACTGGCTCCCAAAAGAGGAAATACTGAGACCCTCCCTCATTTTTAAGTTCACCATTATAAAGCAATACTAATCACAAGGAAAGCACTTGGTCCTTATTTGAGCATGCTACAAACAGCTTCAAAATCACAAGTAAATAATCAGTTTCTCTGTTTCCTCACTAATCAGATTCTTGATGGTCAT